CCAACTCAATGATGCTTCGAACCCTGGCTAACCCCAAAACCCCAAAACCCCATAAGAATAGATCTTAGCTACTATAAAAAGATGAGTAAAAAGATAATTTCTAAAAAGCTTGTAATAAAATAAAAATGACTTAATTTGCAAAATCTTATAATACTTCAAGTTTGCCCAATTTTAGATATGCGACTTCAGAGGATCTCTTTGAAATGGCAAGATCTAATAGGCCATAGCCAGTATAATAGGAGAAACCCTCTTCATTAATCTAATCAACTGGTCAGTTACCCTAAGTTCAACACGGTGCTGTGATCCCAACCAACAAGAATTTATACTACCAAATGAAGCACTAATTAGGAATGGTGCACAGCCCTGGAAGTATTTCAGATCAAGCTCAGATTAAGACTTAGGTCTTTAAGTTAAACAAGATATATAAGGATTCTGATAACCTAACCAATGATAATAAGCTATCTCTGAGCTAAAACAATTTCTTTGCTAGAGGGAAGCCTACTGGCTCATTAATTGGTAATGATCTGCGCAGGTCGATGGGGAGTTTCACTGGTAATATTGAGAGTGATAGGTCAAATACTCTTCAGAATGATCATCCTCATTTCAGATTATTTAAGGATGGTTTGACTAAAGTCACATTAGGGAACTCGCAAGTCAGGTTTGGTAAAAAGGTTTATCTTAACACAAATACTCCCTAATGCAGTTATAGTAGAATACCGATTCCTGGGAATACCAACCCTCATGGGTTAGATATGGATAGAGATAACTTCAAACTTATGCCAGCTAAGAAAAGATTAAGCCCCTTGAGAACTCCCTAGGAAGATTTAATGATAATTGATACTGATAACAACAACTTCAATCCTAAGAGTCACACTAACTACTTCAATGATTTCTTTGGATTCAAAGACAAAGGAAAGAGATAGATTAATGAGGATTTCCCAATTAAAATGAAAATGGATAGAGAGTATAACATTATCAACAATGATATAAATAATGAGAACCTTTAGAAAAAGTAAGATGCTACGTTCTTCAAAGAAAAGAAGGTTCAGTTGAACACTGAGAATAGATATTTCATTCCACCTAAGATTGAAAGCATTAGAAATTCAGTCGAAAGAGCTACTAATTTTCATTAGCAGAACAAAGCTGATAAGAAATATTTATAAAAAATTGAGAATACCAACTTCGCCGGTCAAAGCACCTAGATCGCTAACTTCAAGTAATTTAGATCGATTAACCCTCAGACATGGACATGATTTTAAATTGATGGTAAAAGATTAATCAATTTCGAATTACATTTAAAATTATCATTTTCCTTTTATTTCTATTTTCAAACTTATCTCAGAATTTCCTTACGTCGGGGTTTTGGGGTTTTGGGGTTTTGGGG